TATACTGAGAACAAACAAAAATATTTCTTTTTTCTTTTTTTTTTGACAAAGTATCCTTATTCTAATATAATATAAATCTAATCTGTAAAACACTCAAGTAATCCAAACTCACTCAACTTTTTTGTTGCTTTTTCATTCCAATTTGTATTATTTGCAGCACGTGGACTTGGATGTGGTAGACATAAGACCTAAAAACATAAACCATAAACATGTGTATTTTCTACCCTTAAATTTTACAGCTCAAATTATTCCTTTGCCGAAAAATTTTAAATAAAATATTCTTTTACACTTCTTTAAATAAAATTTATGAAATAAAGGTTTTACAATTACCTTAACAGGTAGTTTGTACTTTTGAACTACAAGTTGTGCTCGTTTCTCTGCATATCCACCAATGCCAATAATAATTTCAGCTTTTAAAATTTTAATTGTTTCTGCTAAAGCCTTGTCACAAGCAGAATGTACTAAATTTATTTCTGCTCCCTAAAAATATATAACTTTTAGTATATGAATATTATTGTATGAAAAAGATGAATATTGCCTTTATTTCTGCTGGTGTGATGTTGCAGCCTTTTTTATTCATTAATGCAATAGGACAATAATTATGTATATATGCATGTTGAAAAAATTTTTCAGGATTTCCACATAATTCTTTGAAAAGACCCCATAATCTTTTTCCACTGATTTCACTGCGTGTACATTGAAATCCAGTTACTTTTCTGTTTGGTTGCTCTTTGGCAGGTTTTCCTACAGGTCCACAGATTTTTAACCAATCACGAACCATATTTATTTCTCCAAATGGTACACCAGTTTGAGACATACCCCAAGGACCAGGATTCATTCCAAGAAACAATATTTTTTTGACAGTAGAACAATATTTTTGTACATACATAGTATGTATATTAAAGGCATATTCAAGTGGACTATAAATATATTCTACAGGCAAATGGAATGTAATTTTCCCTAACTCAACAGCCAAATTACGTTCTAATGATAATAATTGATCAGCAATATCTTCAAGTGCTGCATCATTTCTTATTGCACTGTTGTTATCTCTCTCTGGGTTATTCTCACTTGATATCTGCATTCTTTTAGGTTTAACATTTACTGAATCACTATTGTTCTTTACCTCTGGATTATTCTCATTTGATAGCTTGATTCTTTTAGGTTTAACATCTACTGAATCACTGCCACGTCTTGCTTTCGTTTTTCTTAAATTCGACATTAGAATTTTTTGCACTTGTGAATGAATATTGTTTCTAAAAATTGTCAGCATCTAATTTATAAACGAATTTTAAGAATATACGGTACTTGATAAGATGCAATAAGTTGCTATGATATTATAAATTATATTTAAAAATGTATACAATATTCTCATTCAAGATAAATATTCAAATCGAATTTAAGCGTTACACGTTTGTAAAAATGAACGTTAATTCTTTTAGCTGCTAACAAAACAATGAACTGCACAGTAAAGCGTACAAGAAAAATACTTACTATGTATCAAAAAAGAATATATGTATGAAGTAATCCTTATTCTGTTATCTTAAATTCTATTTTCATAGATGTACTTATATTAAATCACAAACTAATTAATAATTGTAAACCTACCAAAGGTATGTGACTCTTCACTTTCAAATACACGTGGTGTACATTGTATTTTCTTTTAACCAATGAAATGATTGAAACTTCATTTTAACCAATCAACAATCGCAAAACTGTGCGTTATGAAAATATAAAAATTTCGTCTAAAATCATGTGTGATGGATAGTTGTTAGAGGATGTGAATAATAATAGTAAATACAAATTTATTTAAAAAAGTAGTAAAATAAATAATATGATATAAAATAATTGTGTACGTTGTATTACGAAGGTGTGTACGTTATTTGTTATCATGTGTAACATTGGTTAATTTTGAACCTTAACCTTAATCTTAACATTTATTAGTTGATTCAGGTTATGTTATGAACATTAAGTAATTAATAAAAAGTAACATGGAGAATCAAAACGGCGCAACAGTTAAAAGTAATAATCCTGCTCCAACAGTGGAGCAGATTAATGCTGATCGAATAACTCAGGTATGTATTTTGTTAAACTTATTTAGTAATCTCTTTTTATTATACAATACAAATATATACATACATGACTTTTGTGTTTATTATAGCTTGCAAACAAGTATTGGGCACCACATACTATGGATTCACATCTTCCATTCAATTCACAAATAGTAGAAGATATTTATATTCAAGAAATATGTGCATCTAAATTTTCTATTCGAAGAATCATGATGTTAGAATTTAGTCAATACTTAGAAAATTTTCTATGGCCAAATTATAATTCAAAAATTGCAACTCGTGCTCATACTATGTCCATTGTTGTCATGGTTAATGAAAAGTTTAGAGAACGTGTTCAGGTTTGGGAGGCATTTGAGAAGAATCCAAAACATTTTCCAGAGTTTTTCCAAAAAGTTTTAGAAGCATGTCTTGAAGAGAGTATAATGGATTTTGATTTAAAAGAACAAACAGCATTAATTGTTTTTTTAAATCATTGTTTTAATTCAATGGAAGTGTCATTAGTTCGAGAAGAAGTAAAAAGACTTGTTTCATTATCTATGTGGATTTCACTGCAGCAAGGCCGTAGAGAATTGGAATTTAGAAAATATCCAAAGTGGAGAAAGTACTGGAAAGTTATAAGGAAAAAAGACAATCCTGAGTGTAAAGAGAAATTAGAATGGGAACGTAAATTTTTGCACAGATTGATGATAAAATTTATGACAATATTGGAAACAATTTCAGAAGAAGGTAAATTGAAGCATATAAAAATGTACTTAATTTCATATAATTTGAAAACGTTTATGTTAGAATGTTACAATTTGGTATTTGTTTATCAACAGGTCCACTTTTACCAGATAAAGTGAGATATTGTGAAAGATTTCTGGAACTAGTAATAGATTTAGAAGCTTTATTACCGACAAGACGTTTTTTTAACACTGTTATGGATGATTGTCACTTGGTAGTGAGATGTCAGTTATCTAATTTATTACATCGTCCTGAAGGTGGATTATTTGGTCAGGTAAGTAGCATCCTACAATCCATTTGTATAAATAGAAGCAACAAACTGATATATTTCAAAAGATTATATTGAAATTGATTTTATGAAAATGATACATGTTTTATACAAAAGTCATATATCTATACAAATATAAATACTACATGAATAGTAAAAAGTAAAAAAGTCTTTTTAAGATGACATTTTTATTAAAAAATGATAAATGCAATGAGAATATGTATGAAATGTTATTTATATCTTATATGATAAATTAATTGAATAGTCTATACAAGTGCACATTTTCGTAAGGCAAAAGTAATTTTGTTCCAAGGCACATATGATTATAAATGTTAAATACTTAAAATAGGTAAATTGATATTCTGAATAGATAATTTGAAATTTCTATGTCTCAAACAATGAAGTAATTAATACTGTTTACGTGATCAATAATATGTTTCATCATGCAGTTGCTCTTAGTGTCATAGAGCATTATTTTAGATATGCTTTTCGTTTGATATGTATATTCGAAAATGTAAAGAAATGCAAAACACAATGTTCTCAGTCATGAAGTAAAATAATTTCAATTTTCGTATTGAATCGTAATCACCTAGGAAGTTTATAAAAGTCTTTTTAATATCCCGCATTGATGGCAGTCATTTCTTCGCCCCAGTCAAGTCCCTCGATATTTTCTCCTGAATTACAACAATTACATGTTTTACCAAGTAAGAATGTAACTCTCCTTTGCCCAAACACACAAACGTATAATATTAAAATTGCTTGAAGCAAGTTAATAATTATGTGACAATATTCTAATGCATCGTAATTCAGGCGCGACATCAGTAACGATAACCAACCAGTGCTCATTATTGCGAACAAAAAAATAAACATTCTAAAGCTGTATTTCATTTTATGATGAATTCGACCGTATGTGCTCATCCGTTTTATTCTGTTCGCGGTTGTTAAAACGAAGCATAAATCGACCATTATCGTAAACACGATTGACGTAAATAACACGGAAATACCGAGCCAACCGATTGTTTCCTGAGGCGGATACATCGTTCCGTTAACAAGGGGTTTAATAGTTTCTAAGGCGAAATGTGCGAAAATCGCTGTGCCTGCTATGCAAACCGTCGAGCTCCAGACATACGTGGAATAGTAACAATATTTTCTGCCATCAGTTACTCTTAGAAATACATTTCGTGAACGAAAAGTGCTCCATACGTAATAACCCAAAGCATTCAACCAGAAAAATGCAGCTAGCAGCGAGACATACATGACGGTATCTGGAAAAAAAAAGTATTTTTGTAAGAAATTCTTTAAATGCTCTTCAGTATTAAAATATTTTAAATTTAATTCAAATTTAATTGATCATTTTATTCAAATTTCTATCGAATTGAGAAAATATTTTACATTCGTACCGGCAATCATGAAACTGACGTGATTGCCGAATTCCGTGAAGATTCTGACCGTAGAAGCACATTGACTGGCTATAAGGCACAGAGTCATACTAGTTATCATGTTTCCCACAAGATCACGCAGCTGTGGTAGAACGAAATAGACAACCGCGACTACCAGATAACTGGCTATTGATATTGCATGGAAGGTAGGATCGATCGCGTGTTTCATCAAGTAATTTGTATCGGTCCAGCCGACGACTACGTCGGGTACACAGATCATTGCGTACGTCGCTACCAGTCGGTCTCTGCTCAAAATTGCTTTGTCAGCGCAATAATGTCCGAATTGATAATCATAATGAATAGACACCGTTTCGAGATCATCCTCATCCATTGAATCCAGAGCATCAAATCCATAAATACTGCCGTGTGCGTGCTTTCTCTTTGTCAAATCGGTGGTGTAGTGTCGCAACACACCAGTTGTCAATATCGCGAGGCGATCTTCGCCGGATCGATAATGATACACGTTCCATTGATGCTCGTTAGACTGACACTTGGGTCTTCCGATTTTCAATTGATAATTCGGCGTAAGCGGTCTATTTTTTGATATACCGTTCACCTCGTCCACAAATTCAGGTCGCCACACCGTTTCATTCGTTTCCGTCAATGGCGTGCACGTGTCGTCGACGAGAATCTCCTTTGGCTCACAACACTTGGCGACGCTGATCAAATCCGTCTTGACGTCGGTGCTCGCGTAAACGATTCGGGGATGATTCGCCCCCAGTGTACCGATAATGATAAGCAACGCACACACGAGATAATACATGTCATTGAATCGGCACCGTTCCTACACTCGTATTTCTGTTTCTTCAACATTGGTTTGCATTCACTAACCAACTTTCAGTAGTAGCTGTGTAGCGTTGCTTGTGATCGATTTCGCGAGGGCCACAGTTACACCTCGAAGGCGTTGTTATTCACTCGTTCATCGCAACGCGACGACAAACTTCTCGTGTGTTCATCGCCATACCTGCCAATGCCACCAGCGGGTTGCCCGCCTAGCAAGACTTACCCCTGCCATACCCGCCGCCGCCATCGCATCCTATTCCCATTCTCTGTTGCACTATCTTCTTATCTCACTCCTTCTCTTTCATTTGTTCGTTCTCTCGATCGCTCGCTCGCCACGTACTCACTCTCTTTTTCTCCCTTTTCCCCCTCTTCTGCGGCTGTCTCATCGTTTCGCTTCTTCCCCCACCTCGATCTACCCATCTTTACCTTTCTCGTTTACTCCGTATGAATCTGTTTTCTTCTGACGGTCATGTCTTTGCTGCACTTGAATAATATTAGTCTGACCTGTTATGGTTACTATTATCCGCCGTGTATTGAATATTTATAGTATGATCAATGTGTAATATCTTATTGGTGTTTTTGTGATGAATTAATAAGATTAATCGTCGATTTGTTATTCGTGTTTATATCCCCATTCTTTCACGTACATATGTATGTATATTTATTGCACAATCGTTTCGTCCTTGAAACTATCCCACGTTTCTCGTTTTCCCACTTTTTCCTTCCACTGTGGTTTTAATTATAAGTCTTGGTCGCAACAGATAAAAAGTGCAACTTGATTCTGTGCATTTTAACCAAAAGGCTAGCTAACACGAAATTTCCTTTCACAGAAGTAATAAATTATCACACACACAAAGATGTGTACTTTGATCATTTTATTATTTACACATTTGCTTATACAAATCAACTTATCGCATCTATTCAGTATACAAATATAAGTATCTTACAAATAACGAATCAAAAATTTCAAATAAACACAGAAATATATTATATAAGATTAATTTACAAACAATAATTTTTATAGACAAATTTGATTCGTTCGCCGATTACAATCTAAGCGCAAAATTCCTCGTAATCCAAATTAAGCTGCAAGAATCATATTACACACGAGCGGTTGTCAAGCATGAAAAAGTTTCGCGTTTCCCACTGTAACACCCTTAGCGTAACTAAAATATTGATCAGTAACACGTTGTGTCATCGATGTGTGCAAAACGTTGCGTTGCAATTGTGTGTCATGCACGTCAATGTGAATTCTCATCTCTGAGTGACTGATGGACGTATTACTCATTGTAACGTGTGGGTAGTCATTCAATACGTCGTTGTTCCTTCGCAGCATTCTCGTTTATCACGTCTTTATTGAACAGACTATTTGATTGCTCGCGCACATCGCCTTGTTTAATCATCGTAATAGTTTCACGCAAGAAGTGCGATTCTGGCGCGGCAACGCTCATCGATCAGTTTCTTTTTCACACCGTAGATTTCTCTAAACCCGTAGAAAATTCGTTTCGAATGATTCACTTCCATTCAAAAACTTAATAGCTTTAATTTCTCAAAAAATTGACACTCTTGAACGAAGTGAAATCGAAATTAACACACGATTTTTAACGCTTATAGTAGGATGTATAAAAGTAAGAATCAATTTTTTTTAATTAATTCTTTTCTGTTATTTTTATACAATGTTCCTTTTTTGTTTGCTGTTATAAAATATATTCTCTCGATTTCAAACGTTCACGTTGAAAAAAAGGATGACCTGTGATGAGTGTTTCGTATGCTTGGAAGGCACAACGTTTAAATGTTCGTGGTGTGCGCGTCGACTGGTACTTTTTTTTTTCTTTATGGCTAAAAGACGTCAGAAGTACGTGTAATTTAAGGTGAATTGACGTACCGGAAGAGATGCCGCGTCAGTCGACTAGAATAAGAAAGTTTGTATGGTACGAACGTCTCTGAAGGAAAAAAATAAAGTGATTATGCGAAATCACCGCTATGAGTCGTTGGAATTTTGACGAGCCTGCCGAAGCGCAACACCAACGACTTTACGTAGCTAATCCGCGGATCGGTAAAAAAAAAAAACAACAAATCACAATCGATAACGATCAGTCGCATGATAATAATTTACAAGATAATTGACACGTGACTCGTTTTTCGACGATGCTTTATAGAGATTCTTAAATAATTACTATTATAATTTCTATTATAATAGTCCCGACAATTCGTTCGAGATTATGAATAATATGATTGCAGTATAAAAGTTATTTCGATTAGACAAATAGTAGAAGAATATTGAATATTCTATACGACCTTTTGTACGATTACGTTACATTAAATAAGAACAGTTCCTTACATTATTGTCATTACCCGTGATTACTTTCGACTAATCAAACGTATTGATATTTAAAAATACAAAACAAAAAAAGAAAAATATCGTACATCACGTTTTCTAGCCTATTAACGAAAAACTGTTCTTATGGAGACTCGTCATTTTGCGACAATTCAACTTCCTCGGGTAGCTCTTCGTCACACTCTTCGGATAGCTCTTCTTCGCACTCCTCGTCGTCAACGGCTGCCCAAGATTTTGGAAAGCCTATTCCGCAAGGTCTCTTCATAGCCAGTAATTTCCTTACACGTTTACGTCTCGCCACCAATAGAAGGAATATTATGAAGCCTTGCAACGCGTTCAGAATATCCGTCACTATCCTAAATGTAACATCGAAAATAAAAATTTAAAATAAATTACCGAGATCGATGAATTTCTTTTTTTTTTTTTTTCCCGGAAAAGATAATGTTCCTCGAAAGGATTCACGATTAATTTCGCTGCAAAAAAAAACAAATCGAAGAATAGAGGTACATGCTAATTACCAGAAATCATTTTTAGAAAGATCAGCGAAGGAGAGCACTTCGAAGATCCATGTGATACCCATGACGAATATCAGTTTGACGTAAAGTAGACATTTACAACGTAGTGCTCGTAACTTGTTCCCTCGTAACTTGTTGTTATCACGATACTGATGCCACAATCGCCAGCCGGTTAATCCCAGATAGATAATATTTAACGTCAATAAAATAGCAATTGGCCCGTAAAAGTACGCCCACATTTGTTTAGGACCTGCCGAAAAGTGAAACGTCGATGATTGTAAACGTTGTAAAAGTAGTAATAAAAAAGAAACAAAATAAAAGAGACTGTCGTAAATATTTAAACCATCGTATGGGTATCGAACTTACCGCTGAACCAACAGGTTTGCTCTCCGAAACCTGGCTTCAAATGATTTCCGTCTATATGATGAGTAATTAGGGCTACTATTAGAAAGCATATCGGTCCACCCCATCCGATCCCACAATAGATGAAAAAAAGTATTTTATCTTTGATTACGAAACGATCGAACCTAAATAAGAAAGAACGATTCGTTAAAGAAATGAAATTCAGATGGTTTCCTTTTCTTTTTCTCTTCTTCTAATAAAATATTTTCGAACCACTTACCAGACTGTTCTCCAAATGTTAAAGGAGACGACATTCAGCCAGAAGAAAACAGACATAAATCCGAAATACAAAATGAATCCTACAGGGATCGATAAATTATTAATGAAACTATTCGATAGTGTATAAGACGTGAATCCATTAGCATTTTCGTACCCAGAGAGATACATATCGTATAATCTCCGTCCTTCTGCGGTCTCAGATTCTGAATGGAAAGGACGATGTAGCTGACCGCTAGTGACGTCACTACGGCCATCATCACCTTATCTTGCACCTCCCTTAACTCCGGTAGTAAAACGTATGCCGCCAAAGTGGCAATTAAAAATATAGCCGATATGATGCCGAGAATGCAGAATAGCGTATCTTTCCATATCGTCGGGCTGCTGTAATACTCAGGCTCGAAGCATATGAATGCGATCCGTGAGCCGTTGTCCCGCTCTGCCACGCAGAAACTGGAATATTCAATGAAATTAAACGTTTGTCAAATATTCTAGAAGGGTACACGCGTAATTGGTCTATTCATAAGCTGAGATCACAGTAGAAATATTTGTCGAAAATGGAATGAATAGTGAAATTTGAAATGATCAAAGGCACGTCTACAAAAGGATTCTCTTTTCTATATACAATATATGTATGTAGGGGAACAAGAAATGGTAGATACTGAGATTGAAAAATAAGCATTGTTAAATCTTACAAATCTCGAATTTCACATTTACGTTGATTGCCGAAAGATTATCTACGTTAAGTCCCTTTTGACGTGGACTTAGCTTTCTAAAAGGGATATTGGGAATCCAGGTGAAACTGAAATGAATCATTAACCTGTTCGCTGGGATTTTCTCGTATTCCGTTTCCGTAAACTGTAACCACGATTTGCCGTATTCCTGGATTATCGTGAAATTGTCGGTGGGAGTGGCGTCAGGATTGATCTGGTAACTACCGGACGAACATGTGAGACGAATTTTTAAACCGTCGGAACAGTTCATCAACGGCTGGAACATCGAGCCCTCTGGACAACAATTCACGTCGTCCGCATAGCTTAACGAAATTGTCCAAGCTAATAGACTGATCCATAGGAACCCTGAAAGGAATAACACCACTTCAATCACGTACACTTGGCTGTGATATTATCATTATTCAATGGAAATTAGATCAACAGATTAGATTAGAGAGCACTCGAATCGATGCTACTTGGTGATTTATAATCGTTCCATGAAATTTTCAATCATTCTTGCCATAGATTCCTCGTGTACATAAACAAAGATTAAAAAAACAGTATTTCGTTATATATTCTGTCAACATGAAATGAGACGCATTTTTTCCTTTTTTCGTTGTTTTACTTGAAACTTGCATTCGTGACAAATGGTGACATTTAGTATCGATGATTGGTTGTATTACACCGGCAGGAGGCTTAAAACGGGATTTCGTGTGCATCGTCACGATTGCCACAGCGATTTCCAATATTTTCTTATCGCTGCAGTATATCGATATACTCTTTTAATCGATGTGTATCGATCTGGTAGCTAAATGAGTAATAAATCGACGAAATCATTAAGCTTGGTCGGATTGTATTTTAGATAAGTGACAGGTTGGTGAAATGAGAGTTAGTTTAATATTAAAACCTTTTACTGGTCGACGCTTTATCGAAAGGAACACGTGATCGTGTAAAAAGAAGACAGAAATAATATATTTCTAAAAATGATTAATTCCTGTTACGATAAGATACGATGGTATATTGCAGAAAATTGTCTCCCTTATCGGCAATTCTATACCGACACACAGAGAGATTCATCGTTTGTAAAGAAACGCAGTTCGCTGGTCGTAACCCAGTTTAATGCGGATTGTTCTGCGCACGTGCAGCACGAAACGGTCGCATTGAGAGGATGAAGGGACGTTTCTGTTAGCCGGGTTGCTCTTTATACGCTCTCTTCTTCTTCTCTTAGCTGCCTTAATGCCTGCACTCACGCACAGCCGCTTTTTTCATTGGGCCCACGTGCACCTCGTGCAGTTCTTTTATTTTTCACGATTACCTCGACATTACTTACGTCCTCGAATTCGATTCATCCAATAACGCTGAGAGAGTAACGAAGTATACTGTTTACAGTGTTTACTTGCCAATCAATCAAATATATTCGAGAATTTACGTATCTCTGAATGACACATTATCGTTCGATACTGCCAGATATTTTTTTCGACGTGAAACACTGGTGAATGAAAAGTTCTCAGAATTCATGTGACGAACACGAAATCACGCGTTACTATTTCTATTTATCGAAGAGATTTCGTTATGAAAGTAGTTTATAACTCGAAGATCACACCATGAATGTGTAAACATTGGCGATAATTCACGTTATTTCCTACATAGACGTATATGGAAACATACATAGCGCGTATCTATGATTCTGATTTTTTTTGCTTGTTTTATTGCCCGCACTTTGATGCCCCAAGAGAAGAAATAAACATGTAAATTTTTCTGTTTGATTTCTCGCGTGATGCAATCGATGTTTTAGCAAATAAGATTTCGTGTTCCTTTTCCTTGAGTTAACTATAAAATACTGGGCATTTCGAACGGGCGATTTTTCTGACGATCTTTCAAGTCGTACGTATGTTTGTGTGCATGTCTATCGTAAACAAGAATTCTTACCGAAATACGTAAAATTTGCACGTATTCATTATGTACACTTTGATCGTTCACCTTATTCAAATTGTCAAATATTATCATTCCTTAAATTATCTTTCGAATCCTATATTCGAATAAATAAATCATAAGAAAGTTTGAAAAAGATTGAAAAATAAATCATGGAGATACGGCGTTGACAATCGTCGATAAACAAGGGATTATGCACTCGTTGATCATTTTTATCGACCCAGTTTCAATACACTCGGGTCGAATATGCACACGAGGATAAACAAAGAGCAAAAAATGATCCAGACGGCGGAGGTTTACGCACCTTTGGCTAGCAACGTGCCTGAGTGCCTGTTGTAGCTCACGTCCAGCAACATTATTTCAAGTATCACGTTACCGCATTTCTTCGTTCTTCGTCCGCTGGAGAAATCAGCTTGTTCTCGCGAAATTCACCGTGACCACAGTTAGTTAATTGTTCTTGTTCACATCAATCAATCGTGCTTTCTTCACCGTAGATAATATTCAAAGAACTACTTGTACTTTTCTTATTTGACGAAAAGATTCAAAACAGATAAGATCTCGAGAAATTCACAATCCTCCGTTGTTTATACTTGGTTTAAGATATTTGTCCTGTCAAACAATGTGTGGAAACGTGCTACTACGTACATAACATTATCCTGCTTTTCCTTATTCTATAAATGTTCGATGTTATAACGAGCAGTTTCAACAAGTGTTCCTTTTTCTCAGTTGCATCTCGAACTTAAGGAAAATCGGTGTAACAACGTGATACAAAAATACCACCGATTATATTCACAATGAAAAAAGCAGTTCACCGTTTTATGGTCACTACTTCATCCATTCCCTTTCGTACGAACAGATTTTTCAAGCTATCAGCGAATAAAGTTGAACTTGAACAATCAAGAAGAGGTGAATAGAGAGAGAGAGAGAGAGAGAGATAGAGAGAGTCACGTTGACACTGTTGCGTTGCGCGTGGAACTGAACAATCGTGGATGAAGTTTCGATACTACCCGCTCGGCGATAGCACGATCCTCTCCCACTGTGTTGCGTTTCTGGTTCCACAGTTCACCACGGCTATGTGGAACATACGTACTTCACGTTTTCGTCCTTTTTTAAATCCCTGTTATAATTTTATTCTGTTAAATTTTTATTTCGTATTTTTTGAAAATTTTTCATAGCTTTGTTACAAGAGAAATGACAAATCAGTTTAGCTCGAAGAATAGAATAGAGATTCTGAATGCGCTATAGAATAAAAGTAGATTTTATCATCTATCATACATGATTTAGAGACTAATGCTATGGTAATTTTATTCATAGAATCTTCAATGTATACTAGACATATATTTGTGAATTACATTTTTTTATTTTTTTTTTTTAGACAGAGTTTCACCATACATAACATAACCTTGTGCTTATTCACACCACCTTGAACAATGGAAATTTTAATCCATTTTGAAACGTGCTACTCGGAATATTAATTGACGCTAAAGCATGTCTCTCACACATGCTTTAGATTTTTTTTTTGCGTAATACTTTTTCGCCGCTGGGAATAGTTAATTGTCCTGTTGTCTCATTAGCTTGCATCGAGATAAACATGGAACGATTAGATCGAACTATAAAATGTTTATCTGTAAAAAGTGTGGAAAGAAAATTAAGGAAATCAGTCATCGGACAAATAGATTAATTATAACAAACGGAAGTTATTTGCGAATAGTTAATGCTAGTGAACCATGATAATGCGCTTTATGTATCTCTGAGTTGTCGTCAATCTACGTATTTACTCGTGAAAATAATTTTAATGATGATTTTGTTTGTCCTTTCGTTTACAGCTGTTAGAGATGTTGAAATTCTACGCCAGATTCGAGATCAACGAGGAAAGTGGTGATCCCCTCACTGATCACGATATGACACAATTACATTACACGAAGATTACTTCGCTTCAGGTATCAAATGTAACACATACTGCGAACGCTTAAAAAATTACTTCGAGAGCAAATTTTTTTGTCTTTTTTTTCGTATTAGAATAGAATAATTTAAAATTAATGGTAAAATGCATTTTCGCGTTGAAGAATGAAAAAAAAAAACGTATTCGTTTGACGTTGGTTAATATTTTAACGCGGAAATAGAGTTCAAGTTTTCGATTTATCCATTATCATTTGTCAAGTCATTAACGTTGTCGTCAAGGTCGGTGTTCGCGTACTAAAGCCGAAGGAGTAGAAAAGCATAAACGAACAAACAAAAATGAAAACTCTGCGCAGAAAGCGGTATTCGCGAAGTTCTTGGACTTACGAAGTTTTGCGTTAGCAAATGTGGCGAGCGTCGACACGAGGGAGGCACTTTATAAACATTTCGGTTTGCTCAGGTAATGTCTTCATATTTCTTTTATCATTTATTGTACATTCTTCGTACAAATGACAAATCCTTCACAAATTCCTTTAATATTTTTAGTCAAGAAAAGTTAAGATCAATCGGGAGCTATCTGAATCTGGTACCGTCGGAGGAACGTGAAAAGGAAGAAAACTGGTATCGATATGACATAGATTTTCTTCGAGAACTTTTAGTAAGTTGGAATAAAAGAATAATAATAAAGAAATAACAGAGAAGAAGAACGTAGATTTAATTATGATGATAATGTAAAAATAAAATTTCAGATTTCACGTCACGAACGTAGAGCTTCCCAGTTGGAGGAACTCAACGAAATGCCTCTTTATCCGACAGAAGAAATTATTTGGAATGAAAGCATCGTACCAACGGAATATTTTTCTGGCGAAGGTTGTTTGGCTCTACCGAAGTTAAACTTGCAATTTCTTACGCTGCACGATTACTTATTAAGAAACTTCAATCTCTTCCGGCTTGAATCTACCTGTATGTATAGAATACATATGATTTCTTAAACGATAACATAATTCTCGAAATAACAATGTGAATTATTCCCAGATGAAATACGTCAGGATATTGAAGATGCTGTAAGCAGATTGAGCCCTTGGTAAGTCAACCTTCTTCTAATAAAATGGAGTCTTTAAAGAATTGATTAATAATTATTTTTCTTATTTTATTTAGGCGCGCTGAAGATGGTGGTGTTTACTTTGGTGGTTGGGCCAGAATGGCTCAGCCAATTACACAATTTGCTGTGGTTGAAGTAGCAAAGCCAAATATTGGCGAGAAAAGACCATCCAGAGTACGTGCTGATGTCACGATAAATTTGAGTGTTCGTAAAGAGATTAAATCTGAATGGGAAAATCTCCGAAAACACGATGTCTGCTTTCTTATTACGGTTAAGCCTCAAAATCCAATTGGTACAATCTTGTCGAATAATTTTGATTATCTTTATTGTGTTTTTGTATAATGAAAATAAACGATTAACTCAATACTTTAACGTAGGTACGAAATATAGTCATAAACTACCTTTTGTCCCACAAGTTGGACTAACAACCGTTCGAGGTTGCGAAGTTGAAGGTATGCTAGATTCAAATGGTAGAGTAATCGAAGATGGTCCTGAACCGCGACCAATTTTACCTGGAGATACTCGAACATACAGAGTTTGGCTAGATTGCAATCAATATAGAATCGATATGGACAACGCTAGTCACGGTGGCGAGGATGTATATGAAAGCTTTAATATTATAATGAGACGTAAACCGAAAGAGAATAACTTCAAAGCAGTTTTGGAAACGATAAGGGAGCTTATGAATACAGAATGCGTTGTTCCCGATTGGCTTCACGATATAATTCTTGGATATGGTGATCCTGGCGCGGCTCGGTATTCTAGGTATGTTAGAAGATATATTATGCTTGAAATATAAACTAATATCATGGTTAAATATATTTTATATCTTTAATTTATAATTGTATCTTTTTAATTCTTTATTAGAATGTCAAATGAGATTGCAACGATGGATTTTAACGACACATTTCTTGACATAAATCACTTGAAATCTAGTTTTCCGCAGTATGAGATTAAAATTCCTACTAATGATGAATCGAAATTAGTACGACCTTTTCGCCTAACGTTTAAAGATGTACTTGCAAAACATAATAATGAACCAGTAAGGAAAATTATCAGAGTCGAACCTCACGTGCCACCTAGTAGAGGTCCCTACAAAGCTAACGAACCGAAGAAGTACAAAAGCATTTCAGTTTATTCTTATTTTTCTAATATAATAATGGTTATATTTCATTCTAATATCACATATAATTTTATTCCAGAAATCAGATTCCTTTTACGCCAACACAGGTCGAAGCAATTCGTGCTGGTATGCAACCAGGATTGACTCTTGTTGTGGGTCCACCTGGTACAGGAAAAACAGATGTTGCTGTTCAAATTATTTCAAATCTTTATCATAATTTTCCCAATCAAAGAACACTTATAGTTACACATTCTAATCAGGCTCTCAATCAACTTTTTGAGAAAATTATGGCACTTGATATCGACGAAAGACATTTATTGCGTCTTGGTCATGGAGAGGAAGCATTAGAAACTGAAAAAGATTTTAGCAGATACGGTAGGGTTAATTATGTTTTAGCTAAACGTTTGGATCTTTTAATGGAAGTTCAAAGATTACAGGTTCGTAATTTATAATATGTAGATATGCGTTTACCTATGATGTCAACATGTATCTAAGATACATAAAGTTCATATTTTCAGGAATCTTTAAATGTAAAAGGTGATGTAGCCTATACATGTGAAACAGCAGGACACTTTTTTATGTATCAAATACTGACAAGATGGGAACGTTTTGAAACCAGAATTAAACAAAGGCAAGGGATAGGAAACAATTCACTTCCTGCTTTTATCATTGATGAAGAATTTCCATTTCACAAATTCTTTGATAATGCACCAAAACCATTATTTAAGCGGAATAATTTTGAAGAAGATCTTGAAATAGCACGCAGTTGTTTCCGGTATATTTTTATTATATAAGGTTTTACGTAGTAAATTATATTTACAATTAAATTTTAATTAAGCATTGATTTGCAGATATATAGAGCGGATCTTTGCTCAGTTAGAGGAATTTAGAGCTTTTGAATTATTACGATCCGGCTTAGACCGATCAAAATATTTGTTAGTTAAAGAAGCAAAGGTTATCGCTATGACTTGTACTCATGCTGCTCTTAAGAGACGTGAACTTGTAGACATGGGATTTAAATACGACAATATTCTTATGGAAGAATCTGCACAAATCTTAGAAATTGAAACTTTTATACCATTACTATTACAGAATCCACAAGATGGATATAATCGATTGAAACGTTGGATAATGATAGGAGATCATCATCAATTGCCGCCAGTAATTAAAAATATGGCTTTTCAAAAATATTCAAATATGGAACAATCTCTTTTTGCGAGATTTGTTCGATTGGGTGTACCCACGGTAGACCTTGATGGACAAGGTCGTGCAAGACCTAGCATCTGCAATCTATATAATTGGCGTTACAAAAAATTGGGTAATCTTGCTCACGTGGAAAATAGTCCAGAGTACCTGGTAGCAAATGCTGGATTCTTATATGACTTTCAACTCATCAATGTCGAAGATTTTAACGGAGTTGGAGAAAGCGAACCCAGTGCTTACTTCTATCAAAATCTTGCAGAAGCTGAGTATTGCGTGGCTGTATTTATGTATATGCGTCTTCTTGGTTATCCAGCTGACAAAATTAGTATATTAACCACATATAATGGGCAAAAACATTTAATAAGGGACGTAATAAATATAAGATGCGCAAGTAATCCTTTAATAGGTCGGCCAAATAAAGTAACAACAGTTGATAAATATCAGGGTCAACAAAATGATTACATATTACTGTCTCTCGTAAAAACCCGTGCTGTAGGTCACTTACGAGATGCACGGCGATTAGTGGTTGCCATGTCAAGAGCACGTCTTGGTCTTTACGTTTTTGCTAGAGTCTCCCTTTTTAAGAACTGCTTTGAGTTAACACCTGCATTTGCTCAGTTAATGCAAAGACCATTGAAGCTGCAGCTTCTCCCTCAAGAACATTATCCTACAGAAAGACTTAACGATGTTATTCTAACTACTCCACCAATGGAAATTGAAGACATGCCACATATGGCTAAATTTGTCTATGATTATTATATAGAAAAAGTTAGCGGTATGAAGGTAAGAGACTTTTCATTATACTTATACAAATTATGAAAACTTAGAAAAGTGATATTCGATATTTTTTATTATAAATTATAGGAGTCACAAAAGGTATGGCAAAAACCAGGTATGGTACAAACACCTAATAGTCCATCTCATAAAGTTCCTGCTCATCCTGGAGCAGATGATGATACAGATGATGAAGAACTTAATCAAATGGATGACGAACAGGAAGGTATCAAACAAGAAAAAGAAGAACCCAAATTAGAACTGATCAAAAATTTAATTGAAGATCCAACTTCGGAAACTGAAGATAATGATCGTTAAAGACAAACTCATACATCAATAAAGGAGCACTAAGTAATAATAAACAAATATTTTTACTGAAAATATAATCTTGTTATTAAAATTATATTCATTGTACAGTAAGATGATATTGTATTCTATTATAAGATTAAAAGATATTTGTATTTTGTATTTATTACAAATAATATTGTATTTTGATTTTTATATTCTTTTGCATGTTCTTTTTATAAATATTTTAAGTGTACAGGTCCATATTTCGCTTCGTTATTGTTTCTTTTTGTCTCAACGTGTATTTTTTTAATTGTAGTTTTTTGTGACTGGTCCAATAGTTTTTTAGAATTTTCATTAGTCAAGTGAACACTCGACGGCACATAACTATTGTCAAATTTCATCGATTTACTAGTAAAATCTGGATAATATTCCTCAACAGAAGTTTTCATTCCTTTTGAATTAGGAACGTACTCTTCAGGATGATTTACTAAAGCCGTAGTACTCGGTTCGTATGTTTCGTAAGATATCTTTGATAAATCCATGGAATTCGGAACATATCGAACTACTTCCGTTATGCTTTTATTATCCGATACCATAGGAGAGTATTCATTTGAAAATACTTGGATCTGTTCCAACGTACTTTTCCGGCTCGGTATGTAGTTCAAGTTCGCGCATAACTTTTTTGTCACGGGTGCGTCTGGCACGTATTCCTCTAACGTATCATTTTCTAGACACTCAATTGGTAAATATCTTTTGGTTCTATCATTTTTCGTATCAATTGATGTTTTCGTCATTATATCATTATTTTCTGACTTCTTTGGTGAAGTATTGCCATTATCTTTTTGGTGCGTGTGAACGGTAGTTTTTTCTGTCGCTCGATCACGAGTTTCTTCCTTTTCTGACACTGTTTTAAGTAATTCCGTTTTTCCCGATTTTCTTTTTGCGGGAGACACGTACACTCTAATTGTAGGTAACGATGTAACGTCTTTTACACTTTCTGGTACCTCGAACATGTATCTATGATTTATAAACATGTCTGTATAAATAACTATTAATAATTAAACATTGTGATGTTGCCACTGGCATGCATACATATGTTTTTAATCGTAATGTAGCAAAGTACAAATTTTTTATGTAATTCCAAAAATTAATCTAAGCATATAAAAAAGGTACATATTTTATACAAATAAATATATATGTTTATTAAATAACACAGTATGATCTAAGTAGAATTGAAATATAAAACAGTACTACTTACGTGACTTCTAATTGTCGAGTAGACTTTTTCCATTTGTTTCTTTTAAAATCCTGAAGCGATCCTTCCGTTCCAAAATTACGCAAAATTGCCTTCTCCAAAATTTTGTACAGTGCCGCCCAATCCTCAAGATCAAGCCACTTATTAGTTGAAACTTTTTTCTCTTTAATTTTTATAGTCTTCTCTTGAACAGTAACAACAGCCGTAGCTAAACAATTATCTGAAGCCTACGAACACAGCTTCTGTTTTACTTATATAGATCAAAAATCGTCTATTAACAGCTGTTAACAGCTGTTGATTCAGATACCTTAATTACTTCCAAATATTGACCGTCACGAAACATTCTTATAATATATTGCAAATCCTCAATTGTTCGATTATTTTTTCACGAATTATCTACTTTTATAATACGATGTATTGTTAATTATATACATTCGACGAAAAACTTATACTGACGATCTTTCTAATACCTCTGCCTGTCACCTTGGCTAAGATGTGATGTCAGCGTAGAGTACCGATCACGCATGTCAACACGTGCGAATATGAGTAAACGAAAGTGAAGAATGAAACTAAACTAAAAAGTTTGTCTATAAATTGGATTTATAATTATTAACAGAATTTATAAATTATTTCATATTACATACAATTGTACTTATATACAAAAAGTGAATGAAACATTACATCCTATCATTTATTTACAATATTTTTTACTTTCAGTTATCATTTCGTTTAATTATTGATATGACCACATATTATTTGTTCTGATATGCAAATTTATATTTTAAATAAATGTACTTGTGAAGTTAAATTTTCAACATAAAAGTATGTTAATATTATTTATTTCACGTTTTTAATAATTTTGTGAATTTATGTAAAAATACTGATGATCAAATGCTTCGTTAAGTGTGTACTCGGTAAGATATTTTTGTACGTTCTTGTTGCAGATATTATAGTATATAGTGGATACGAAAAAAATTAATAAAGGAAAACAATGATACCACAGAAAGAGCCAAATATTTTTAACAGGTTCATAATTTTTAATGAAACCGATACTAATACGGTGAAGGTACGCTCTAACCTACATTTTGTTTCAGATAATAAATTATATCTATTCATTTTAATTTTAGGTTTTCAGTTATGGAATCGCTAGTATAAGTTTAGCAATTGCACTCTATCAAATTAAACCTGTATGTATAACATAACATATGACAATAACGTTTTACACAGTTCCATATTTTATATTTTTTATTATTATATCCTTAGTTTGCTAAATTTAGAAAACCATCCAGCATACCATCTCGCTTTTTACGCAAAAAAATTCCACTTCGAGGTATTGTAATGCATATAGAACCTACTTGTGGTACACTTCTAATGGTTGATCACAAGCCATTAATACCTTTGCCTCGATTGAATAATTCAAAACATTTACCAATTAAAATAGCTGGTCTTGATGTAACAGCTAATGGTAAGTAGTGATCAAATATTTGCAAGTATCTAACATTAATTACTGTTTACATTTAGGTATTAGTTGGTTACAAACAATTGTTTGTGGGAAGGAGGTGACTTTTATACCTTTAGTCAAAGAGAAAGAATATGTGAGCTGTATAGTGTCTATGCAACAGAATCAGGTAAAAAACAATCATTAAGTATGTTCATTTTTCAAAATAAAAATTCATAATTGTAAATTGTACAGGAACATATAAAAATTGGTGAAGAATTAACAAAAGTTGGTTTTGGTACAATAAGGGAAAATTCCTTGAAGTTAATGATGAAGGATAAAGACATTGTAAATTATTATAAGTGTTTGCTAAAAGCACAAAAATGGGCACAACGTAAAAGAAATGGACACTGGCATTTTATTATACAGCCTACTCTTTTGTGGAAAATTCAAGAGATTTTACGTGAAAAAGTAAAATCTGTGCTTCCTACATTTATAGCACAACAACTTAATATTTGAATATAGGTTGTTAGTTTTCCTTTACTTATAATTCCTATTCATGTTATAAAATTAAAAGGATTGGAATATTTTTTTATGTTATAATACAAATATTAGTAATAATACCAAAACGATATAATAACTTTAAATATGTACTTAATGTTCAAGCTCATCTTGTTTCTAGACAATAATTAAAATTATAGAAGTAAAAACAATATTTAAAAAAGGCAAATTTTATTTTTATACCAGTTATACATCCTTGTACCAACTTTTAAATGAAATTAAGAATATTGTTTTACACCACCATGCCCAAAATTAATCTGCATATTTAATATTCAGAGGAAGGCAAACTGTAATGTGTATCTGTCAATGTTTTGCATTAATTACTTATTTTCATTCTTATTTTGATACACATATTGTGTGTAATATATTCCAAGTAGAAAAATAGATCACATACAAAAATAGAAATTAAAAATTTAATGGAAGATTCGCACTACTTTTATGATTACATGAAATAAATTTAATCGTCGCAAGAAAATTACGTAAATTTTATAAATAAATGCGATCTAATGTAAATTATCTTATTTGTAAAACAATTATTTTAATATTTAATTTTATTCTATTATACAATTTGTTCTGGAATGTTAATTATGAGTGTTGAAACAAGATAAATATCTATAACAAAATGCATTTTTTCTTCCTTTCATTTGGACCACATTTTCATTATACAATTAAATAAAATTAGAAATTACAAAATGCATACGTACAAATACATATATTCATATATATGTATGTATACGTGAATCATGCATATGTATATATTTATATATATA